GTCTGCCTCAGTTTCCCCAACTATAAAATGGGGATAAAAATACCAACTACTTCCAAGGGTTATTGTGAGGATCACATGAGATCATATTGATAACGCGTTTAGCACAGTGCCTAGCACATAGTAGGTGCTTTAATAAATGCTTGTTTCTTCCTCACCCTTGCCTCTCTCTATGTTGATACTGCCCTTAGACCATGCCAATAAAACCCCCAGATCTTTGTCAGACAACCTGCTATCTCATCACTTCTCTCCCATCTTGTATTTCTTGTACGGCCATTCCTCAAACCCAGCTGTTTAAAACTTCACAGTTATCTCTGTTAATTTTCACCTTATTCAATGCAGTCCAACATCCTGGGCTGTCAGAACCTTTGGGGATTCTGCCTGTCATCCAGTAGGTTAGCTAGCCACCCAGGTGCTCAGGTTGAAATGCATTTACACAGGGAATCATTCCATGAGAAATCTTCCATGGGTAACCTTCCTACTGTGCAGGTAAGAAAACTCAAGCATACTTTTTATAGACAACAAAGAGAGCTGTTTCTGGCCCAATGTGGTGCCCATTATATATAATTATGGGAAGAATCATTTTGATGATGATAATAAGCCCTTGGATTTATAGGCTGCCTTTTTCTTTCTCCAGAAGCCCCAAGCAGTCATGTAAAACCAGCTTCATTCCCCTAGTACCAGAGACGTTAATCTAATTGGCAATCTTAATTCTGGAAGCTCATTAAAGGATGACCTTCAGAAAAACAGGTAATTAGAGACTTCGTATAAAAGAAAGTAAGAACCAATGTAAAAACAAAACAAAACAAAACAAAACAAACCCAGTCTTTAATCTGACAGATTGACTGGGCAGTGGTCAGATATATAGGGTTAAGGTTCATGAGGAGATAAGGTCCATTAGTCTAAGAAAACACTCCCTAAAGTTGTGGTCTGAGCAGCATGGAGGCGCAAGCTAGAGACCCTGGAGGTGAGTTTGCTTGGCTTTACAAGTGCCAGGTTGTGGTTGGGATTGGTTAAACCCTGGCCTAATTAGTAGGAGCCAGAGGTGAGGGAGAGAAACTTGCCCAGGCCTTGAGTTTGTCTGCAATCATCACTTCGGGGCAAACTGTTAGTACTGTTGAGGCTCTCTTCCTGGGCTCGGAATTCCTGGGATTAATCATATCTCCCTCCCCGCCACCTCCACTCCCAAGAACTCTAAATATTTTCAATAACTAGTTTCTCATTTCTCCCCACAATAACCCTGCTGAAGGACTGAAAAGATCTGTCTACTGTGAGTATAAAGGGTTCCTTCTTGTTTTCTAGCCCGTGAAATGTGGATAGGCAAGATACAGCCAGGTTGATCCCTTCATTAAGAGTCCAGGGGGCACAGCAGATAGAACCGTGAACACAGAAATGAAAGTTAAGAAGACCAGATTCAAATCCTGACTCAGACGTTCACTAGCTTTGTGACAATGGCCAAGTCACTTAACCTCCTTGTGAATCTCACTTGTAAAGGATGACGGTAATATCCGCCTCCCAGGAATGTGGAGAGGACCAAATGAAATGCTGCAGGTCAAGTGCTTTGCAAGCCTTGTATAGATTGTGTGTATTCCCTGGCCTACTCATTCAGAGTGAGGTTTGCTCCATTGCCCTATCAGGGCTCTAGGGATAACCGTAAAGATTTTAGAGGTATCTCTTCCCAATGTTATTGGCTTGAGCCCCCACTGGTGTCCCAGTTCCATTTTGTCACTTGACAGCTGTGAATTTTTACAAAGGGATATTTAGATCAAAAGTCAAACAAGAAACAAAGTAGAAACACTTCCTTCAACACCTCAGGCCAGAATCTCCCCCTATATCCCTTTGCTCTCTGGGAAGAGGGGGCTCACTCTTAGCACAGTTTCTATATAACATTACTGCCAGATAAATCTGCATTTCAGCTGCTTTGGGGATAGGTCCTGAAGGGCACCCCCAAGTTGACTCCTTGGTCTTCTCAGTATGGGATGCTGAACCCAGATTCTGGGAAGCTCCGATGATCATTCTCTAGTCTAGACCATAAGATGATCACAAGGTTATAGGCTCCAATCCCTTCACCTTAGAAGGAACAGAACAAATGCATAAGCTAAGGACTGAAGCCTGTTCCTCAGGAGCACATGGCCTTGACTAGAAGAAGGTCCAAGGTCTCTCCCCAGTTTATAGCAGAACCTGTCTCTCACCAGACACCATGACCCAAGGAGTCCAACCAAAGGGGTTGGGGTGAAGAGGTTGGGCCAAAGCTGACTCAGGCCTTTTTGAAGATGCCCCTAGTTCCAGCTATGAAGCCAATCAAAAAAGATTTCTCCTAACCACATGGTTAGCAGACCAGAACCAGTCACAGAGTGACTAAGCATGTTTAAGTCTCTCCAGGGCCCTTTTACTATACATCTCCCTACTGCCCCAGAGGAGAATCTCTAGCCTCCTGAAAGGGGAGGGTCCCTTTGAGAATCTTGGATCTATGTCATTGCTTCCAAGAATAAGGAAGTCAGAGTTCCACTGTCCTCTGCCCTGGTCAGAGCCCCTTTGGAATAGTGGGTTCAGTTCTGGGAGCCATAGTTGAGGAAAGATGTTGATAATGTTGACACCAGAGGGTTGTGATGGGCCTTGAGTCCTTGTCACATGAGAATTGGTTGAAAAAAACTGGGGCTGTTTAGTCTGGAGAAGAGAGGAAGTCGAGCAGATGTGATTGCTGCCTTCAGGTACTTGAAGTGATGTCCTCCAGACCTCGGAGTCTCAGGGTCAGGAAGGACCTAAGGGGCCAAGCAGTCTTGTTGTACCCGAATGAGAGTGACCTCCACTACGTGACTTACCGGTGATCTCCCAGCCTTTGCTTGAAGACCTGCAGGAAGGGAGGACTTGCTCTTTTCCTGGAAAGCCATTCTTCTCCTTCTTGAATTAGTAGGAAGTTTCTTTCTTCTGATCTCAAGTCCAAATTGTTTCTCTGACTCTTCTCCTCATCACTCCTCACTAAGGCCAAAAGAAACAAGCACAATCTCTGAAGAAATGTTGGCAAGGTTCACCCAGAGGGTGACAGAAAGGCCCATGATGGCAGTGAGCAGGTGGCCGTGTGGTATAACCAGGAAAGAAAGACTTAAGGACACCATCAGTGAAACTGGAGACATTTGCAAAGGTTGGGCCAGTCACTCATGAGGGAAAGCTCATAGCCAGCATGCTTCATTGAGCTCCATGCAGTGAATATCATACCTGTGCATTTATGCATATGCACGCATGTATGTGTGTATATACATGGGTATGTAAATGCAGAAATGCCTATTTGTACATGCCTATATTTATGCATGTATATATACACTTGCAGGCATGCATACACATGTCTTTATTTGCATACATGGACACATACATGTACATATATTTGTGTGCATATACACACACCTATGTCTATTTGTGTGCATGCATACACACTATAATGTGTAAAAAATTCAAGAGACATAGTTTCTGGGTAATTAATCATTTTATTAATTATTGTCAGTGGATAATTAATAAAAGGGGTCAGTGGCGCTCTCATGTCAAAGACCTATCACGGCGGCTTCTTGCCCCTTCTATGCCCTTGGAAGAGTGAGTGTGCCTGACAGGCGGCAATCAACTCTGACTGGTTAACAATTAATGAATATTACCATGAGAGGTGGACCTATTCTAATGAGGGGCTGGGGGATGTGACTGATCACTCAGACCTGTCTGACTAGAACACAATGGTCTGGATTTCACCCAGATTCGATTTTCTTTGTAAAGTTTTCCAGTTGGGTGGGGCGACACCTCCATCTAAAAAGGATGGTCTAGGGTGGTGTAAATTTTTGGGCAAGGTCAGAGATGTCCTTGAAAGACTGGACTTTGAAAGAGGAAAAAGGAAAAAGCCCTGGATCTCCCCATAACTGATTATTTACTCAACACACAGATTTGTGTGCATACATGCACATGTATGTATTTTTATATGTATGTATATACATACACATAGTTTGTACACATTAAGTTACATGTTGTTTCCCCTATTAAGAGTTGGAGCTTCTAGAGGACAGGGACTGTCTTTTGTCCTTTCTGTGCATCCCAGTCTGGCACGTAGTAAGTGCTTTACACGTGCTTGTAGACTTGCCTCCCCTTGCCGTCATGGTGGGAGCCTCCTCATCTGGGAGTTCTCTGTCAATGACATCACACCTTCATTCATCATCTCTCACCATGACCAGCTAAGCCTTGTGCCCAGGGCTGGGGGACAAAAAGCAGAGAGCATCCCTGTGTTTAGCTGCTCTGCCAGAGGGGAGGGAGGTACCCACAGGAGGAGCAGTGGGGGGGGAGAGGGGGGAACTTTGGAAGTCACAGGGATGATGATGGGAGTGGAGGGGGAGCGGACTGATGGTTCCTTTTAAGGAGTGAGGCCAAATGGATAGATTTTCAGAGCTGAGAAGTGGGTGGAGGCAGGGCAGCAGGGGCTTGGCAGGGTGGGCTGGATGGAGTCGGTGCCTGCATACACTTGCTTCCATCCAATTAACCATTTCTCCTCATTTCTTCACTCCAAGAAGTAGACTTTGATGATGGGCATTCCAGAGCTGAGAGGGTTAAGTTTGGGGGGATGGGATTGTTAAACTGAAATGAAGGATAGAGAATATTTTAACCATTTCTGACTTACGGCACAGCTTCCCTCCCATATTCTGGGTATTTATTAGAGAAGATCTAGCAGTCTGTGTGTGAGGAGGTGGGAGCATTTGTTACTGTGGGTATCTTCTGAGAAAAAAAAGCTTCCGAGCTGGCCTTTCCCAGAATCCCATCCACGTTTGTTCAGCACCAGGAGCTCCCCGAAGCACTTTACCTTCTCACATGCTCGTCACCACTACCCTGGGAGGTAGGTGCTCTTATTATCTCCATTGTACAGATGGAGAAACTGAGCCGCGGCGAGGTAAGTGAGCTGCCCAGGGTCACCAAGTGAGCTGATGTTAGGCAGGATTTGATCTCGGCTCTTAAAGAAGTCCAACCTTCTACACAGGCTACTTATTAACGCAGCCGAAAGGCCATTGTAAGGTGCCGCTGCAGAGAGCAACGAAGACTGGGACTCCTTCGTGGGGCAGGGGCTTCCTGGGTCCCGGTTTATGTCCCGGGTTGATCTGGGGCTCCTCAATGGCAGTTTGCTCAGCTGTCACACCAGGGCTTGGGCTAGACCTTCAAGGTCTAACCCAAGTCAATCCAACACGCAGGAGCTGAGGCCCCCCAACGCTCAGGTTCTATGAGGGGCTGGAGCTCACCCTCTGGAAGCGGTCAGTGGGTGGAGGTAGAGAGGCCCCAATAGACAGTATAGTGTCCTAGATTACAGGCTGCCTATTCCCAGGCACTCACAGGAGGGCTGCAGTGACTCGGCCAAGGTCATACTGGGAGATGTCAGAGAGAGCCAGAGGGCAGGCTGGGACTCGGGGTCAGTCATTTCTCACGCCCCTCTGAGCCCTGCACATAGCAGGTGCTTAGTGGGTGTTTGCTGCTGAATGGCTCCGTTGCAGCCCGTTGGCCTGAGCTGTGGTCCTGACCACTGGGCAGCAAGGCCCAGGCCAGTGTCCGGCTCGGGAAGAAAAAGGGTCAGAAGCACTGGGCTGGGGAGCCTCTGGTCCCTCCTTCCTCCGGCACGACGCGTGAGGGGTGCGTGCGCGGGGCAGTCGAGGGGCAGGAGGTGACGGGGGGGGGGGTGGGGGGGGGAGGCTGCAGCGTGGGGAGGAGGAGGCGCATGCACGCGCGCGCGCACACATGGCTGCTCCCGTTCACAGGCATAGGCACACAAGCGTGCACACACATGCACGTGTGCACACACAAGTACGCGTACACACACACACGTACACACACGGAGCACACACACGGAGCACACACACGGAGCACACACACCGCTGGCTCCAGGCTCCGCCCCCGCCGCTCCCTCTCGGGCCCAGCGGCTCTGGGTTCCCAGGTCTGGGTTCGGGCGGGGGCGGGGCGGGAGGAGGAGCGGAGGGGGGCGGGGCGGGCTGCAGCGCCGCCAGGGCCCGCGGGGGGAGCCCGAGCGCAGGTGGCCGCCGCTCCTCCCCGCCCTCTTCCCCCCCACCCGGCCGCTCGCTCTCGCCCCCGCCCGGCTTGGCCGCAGCAGCCGCGGGGGCGCGCGCCCGTGCCCGCGCCCGCGCCCCCCGCGCCCGCCCGTGCCCGCGCTCGCTCGGCGGCGGCTCGCTCGGCTGGAGGCGGCGGCGGCGGCGGCGGCGGGAGCAGCGGGAGCGGCGGGAGCGGCGGCGCTGAGTCCCCGGCCCGGCCCGGCCCGGCCCGGCCCGCCTCCCGCCCCGGCCCGGCCCCGACTGCGGCGGTGAGTGAGGCGGGGGCTGGGGACCCCCCAGGGAGGGGGAGAAGCAGGGATGGGGGGCTGACCTGGGGAGGGGAGGAAAAGGTGTGTGTGTGTGTGTGTGTGTGTGTGTGTGTGTGTGTGTGTGTGTGTGTGGGCTCCGAGGACCCCCTCGTCCTTCCCCCCGGAAAGTTGGAAGGGGTCTGGCTGAAGGGAGGGGCTCCTCAGCGAGGGGGGGCCGTGGGGATGCGCCCCCTCCCAGGAGGCATGGAGGGACTTGCGGGGAGACCGCGAAGGAGGGGGGCTGGTAGAGGGGCGGGGGATGAGACCCCTCTGGGGGAGATCCCCAAATGAGGGGAGGCTTGTAGAGGGGTGGGGGTGGGAAGAGACCCCTATGGGGGAGAGCTCCCCGAAGGTGAGGGGCTTGTAGAGGGGCGGGGGTATAGGAGACCCCTATGGGGGGAGCTCCCCAAAGGTGAGGGGCTTGTAGAGGGGTGGGGGTATAGGAGACCTCTATGGGGGGGAGCTTCCCGAAGGAGGGGCTGCGAGAGCGCCTCAGACCCGGGCTGGGGTCGAGGTCGGGGTCGGGGGTGAGGCTCGGGAGGCACTTGTGTCCCCCCATTTCGGCCTGGGCAGCAGCATCCGGCACTCTTGGCTATGACTTGGGCCGGACCGTGCCCTGGTGCTGTTCGCTCTCGGGGCTCTGCCCCCCCCCCTTAGTGAAGGCCCAGGCCCCTCCCCATCGTCCCCCATCGAGGGGATCTTGGGTTGGCAGGTTCTGGGGAAAAGAGGGCACAGAGCGCCGCCCCTCTGTCTTAAACTCCAGCCCAGGCACGGGAGTCCAGGTCCAGTGGGAGGGAGTTCGCTTGTGGGGTCTTTGACAGTGACATGACAGCATTTGGCTTCTGAGTTATTCCTGGGGCTGTTCTTAATCGCTCACTGTGAGCCGGGGTTCATAACATGGGGAAGATATTGATCTTTTCCTAAGGAAATGTTATATCCTGAAAAGATTTACAAGATGTACAGATGTAGTCTTTTTATCCAGGATTTTTGTCTGTGTTATTTAAAAATTCTGGATACCAGATTATGAAAAATTGAGACAGTAAACTGGGGAGTCTGTGAAGCATGAACAAATATTGAGGAGTAGAGAAAAAAAATGAAAGCTTCAGATAACCATGTTGTCCTCTCTGACTAGAATCCTGAGGTAGTGGTGTTAATGTTAAAAGATGGGCTGTGGGGCACAAAGAATTCTGACTTCTGCCCTTAGCTCGGCTAGGCGTTCAGGCAAACAGCAGACAGGTCTCTTACCCTGCTTAAAGAAAGCGTTCCCAGCTTGGTGGACCCCACCTTGGTTTGGCCTTGGTCCCATCGCCTTTAAGGAGTCAGGGTCATTTCCAGGCCATTACAAGGCAGTAATGATGGTTGGTGTCAGTGGTGGCTGACATTTATGTAGGGTGTTCTGGTTTTCAAGATCATTCGTGATCTTCTTTGAGTAGAACTTTGTATGTTAAGAGCGGAGTATCCCACATGGGTGGTCCGAGTGCAGCACTGGTGCCCACACCATGCAGAGTCCCAGGGGAAGGCCTTCAGCTTGGTGGTAGATCCTGGATGGAGGATCTGTGGGTGAACGTGGCCCCAGAGTCTCACAGGATGAAAAGAACTCCTTCTGGGTTGCAGTCTCTCCTGTTGGAGGGAGTGGGACGGTAAGCTCTGCTGTGAGAGGAAATGCCCACATAGGTGAGATCATTGATCAGAGTTTTGAAGTAATAAACAATAGTTTAAAAGATTGCACTTTAGCTAAGGTTTTTCTTTTCTTTTTTTTCTTAAGGTTTAGGTGACATGATAGGCAAACCAGAGCTGGATTTAATTGCTGGGGATGAAAATGTTCTCTCCCCCCCCCCCCCACCTAGCTCAGTCAAGCATTTTCAGTAGTGACTAATGCAGCAAATGGATTTGGACCGTCTATTGCAAATGAGGCTTGATGGTATCATGATACTCTCAGTCAGTCAATCAACATTTATTAAGTGCCTTATGGCTTCCCTTATCTACCTTCCATTTTTCAGAGATTTAATTTTCTATCACAAATGCCCAAGATTAAAAAAACAATTACAGTGAGCAGTAGCTTACGAAGAAGTAAAGGTTGGATGGTTTTAAAATGGATGAATGTGCAGCTAAAGGAAAGCAGCCTTTTATTTAGGGGTGGGGAGAAGTCCTGTTCCCTTTAAGAAAGTTGGTCCCAGGCTAGCTAATAATCCATACAGGCATGCTTCATATATTATGCAGTAGGACCATACATCAAGTTGGACACCTACTGCACGAGGTACTGCTTCTGTGAAGTTTTGTGTTTTAATTGTATGAGGAGAACTTGGAATTTAAAGGACTTATCTGGATTTTCCACACAGGGTTTACTTAGCACGGGTCTTCTTTTGTAGAGCCACTTTTGCCATAGCGATCCTCCTGAACCATACTTAGGGCTAGTGGGGGACTCCAGTTCTGATCAAGCTGCGATCTGGAGCTCCCTCTGGACGCTTTGTGGTTTCAAGACTTTGCCATCGTCTCCCGCCTATTGCAGCCCCTTAGGAGAGTCGAGATGGGGAAAGCGAGGGCAATTCTGCAGCAGCTCATCCCTGTCTTGTTACCTAGAGAGCTCTGCGGCCTTCATCGTATTACAGAAATTTCATGTAGTGAAGTTATGTACTGTGCGGGAAGATGACAAAGATAGTGTGGTACTTAAAAATAAAAACAAACTTCTCACTCACCCCCCCCCCCGGACTTTACAAACCATTTAATGATCATTTTCATATACTCTCAGAGCTGAAAAGGAAGGAAATAGTCCTGTTTGCAAAATGCATTCCCCCAATATCCATGTGCAGCAGGGAAGAAAGGTTGTATTCCCATTTTATCATCAGATATGCCTCAGTGCTGGATAGATGGAATTAATTTCTGCTCGTCCAGGTAGTTAGTGGTGCTAGAACTTGATTCTCCTTCCTCTCATAAAGGCCTGTTCTGTTAGACTGCATCGTGGTGATTAACAGCTAAAGGAAAAAGGTGATTTTAAGAAGCATACCATCTCTGCAGTGTTGGCTAACAACTCTAAGGAGGTGAGCCCCTGTGTCTTGGAACCAGCAGAGATTGCAAGGGCTCCATACTAGTGTCCAAAAGTCCTCATGTGTGACTCTTTGTGCCTCAGTAAAAATGGTGACGATGGACCAGGAGTACCTGCCTGCCTTTCGGGGCTGTGGCCAAGATCAGGAGATGATGTTTGTAAACTTGAAGCACGGTATAAATATCTGAGGCAGCACAGCTGTAGAGTAGATGGTTAGCAGGTCTCACAGCCAGGAAGACCTGGGGTCAAGAGCAGTCTCTGACACATGTGGGAGTCCCATCCCCTAGCCTCATGTCCCAATAGCTCTCTGACGCTAAGGTGCAGAGGAGGTGCTGAACTGCATCAGGGGAGGGAGTTTCCACACCTGGGAGTTCCCATACCTGGGAGTTCCTTATACCAGTGAAATCACAAGCCAGTCCCTATTGCTATAAATATAAAAAACATTTAGCCCCCAAAATGTAGTGGCTGCCTGTGCTAGCTTGTACGTTAACCTGAAGGACTCTTTAGATTTCTCTGAACTAGTTGCTATAAAAAGTATTCTACTTTTAAACTCCCACATGGTTCAGTAACAGAGAAACTGAGTACAAAGGTAATTTTGAAGGTATGTGCAGATGTTGGAAATTTATTTTTGCCTTGTGTTTCTAAATGCCAGAAGCAGGGACTTGAGTAGAATGGCATTTTAAGTGTCTGTTTGGAAACTCCATGAAGCCAATAGTTATTGGTCTTTGGTATTATTTATTCAAGTTCTGAGGTGTCTATAGACATTTATAGATTGTTATAAAGTAACAGGGCTTTTGCCCCAGGGAATTTTTTGGTCTGAGGTCGCAGCAGAGACAGTAAACCAGGAAAAAAAAAAGTTAAATCAGCTCTTTGGAATTGTAGAACCTGGAATAAGGTTTCTTCAGCAGTACGGAGATTCGCTTGCAGGCTGGTTCCTGAGTTATTTAAATGCTATCAGTGTGTTGACTTGTGCAGTTGTGAGCGCACCAAACACACTAAGGATTTTTTTTTAACAGTTTGCTTATAAAGCTTCCATAAATTCTTAACTGAGTTGTCTCTGAATTAATTGCCTAGTAAAGTTACGTTGTCAGAATTAATGCCTTAGTCTTAATTAAGCTTTGAAGCCCAGAAGTGGATGTTTTTTCAGTATTTCTTCAGGATGGGTTAATTGGTTCTTTCTGCAGAAATCAGATTGAACTCTCAGTATGACTTCAGGACAAAGATCTTTTCAGGTGAACTGATTCAATAGGGTGGGAGCAGTCATTTTGTCTGTGTGTGTTAGCAGAAGGCCACTTCTGGCTTTTGGAGCATTCATAATTTTTTTTTTTGGAGAGCTTTCTTTATTAGGAAAGATTGCTTTAATGGAAACTTTATTTGCTTTTTTATCATGAAGCTTTATTCCCCATTATAAGCAATTTCTTTGAACAATTAGATTTTTTTTTGTCATTATCTTAGTAAAACAGGCCCATGTAATTTTCATTGCAGGAGAATACCCCCTATTCTGTGGTCATTTTATTCTGCATTAGGCCCTCTCCTAGACACCAAGTAGAGAAGAGAAGATGAAACTAAAATCAATGATTTGCTCATTTTTAACAGCTCTGGTCGGTTGTTAAAAGCTCCATTTTCTGTCTCTCCTGTTTTAAAGACCATTGTCAATGGTTTGGTAGAAGGAGAAGATCAGACTATGGATGAAATCATATTCTTTTGGATTAACTGTTAATGTTCATTCGTTTCACTCGTGTCTGAATCTCTGTGACCTCATTTGGGGTTTTCTTGGCAAAAATATTGGAGTGGTTTGACATTTCCTTCTCCAGCTCATTTAACAGATGGGGAAACTGAGGCAAGCAGAGTTAATGACTTGCCCAGGGTCACCCAGCTAAGTAAGTGTCTGAGGCCAGATTTGAACTGAGGAAGATGAGGCTTCCTGACACCAAGCCTAGGCAATCTACAATCTGTGGCACCTAGCTGTACACTTCATTTATCCAAGCTTTTCACTTAGCTGTCCCCCCATTCATGTAGTTCTTTCTCTCATCTAGCCTTCCCTGGCTTCATTTTCGAGTCCCAGCTAAAATTTCACTTTCTCCAGGAATCTTTTCCCAATTTTCCCTTAATCTAGTTAATTAATTCTTAATTCCTTGATTGTCTTCCATTTATCTTGTTATGTTGTTTGTATATAATTGTCTGCATGTTGTCTTCCCCATTAGAAGGTGAGCTTCCTGAGAGCCAGGACTGTCTTTTTGACTCTCTTTGTATCCCTAATACTTAGCCCAGTGTCTGGCTTACACAAGTAGAGATGATAATGCTTGTTGACTTGACAGATTTTCCTGTCTTCCCAGAATTAATCAGTTAACTATATAAAGATAATTCAGAGACTGATTATCCAGTTGATCCATAACCCATAACCCATAGCCCATGATCAGAACGGTGGTCTCTTACAACCTTAGTTTTAATTTTGAAGGCCTATCAGTAAATAATATTCTCTATGGCATTTTATTTGTCCCTACAAAGGGTATCCT